ATAATATTTACACCACACATTACCCTTAAACAGGACATCTCCACTGCCTCCAACCATCTCCTCGCTGCTGCATTTACCACCCAAGCTTCACACCCATATAAGAGTGTTGGTACTACTATACTTTCATACATTCCCTTCTTTGCCTCCATAGATAACGTTTTTTGACTCCACATATACCTCAACGCACCACTCACCTTTTTTTCCTCATCAATTCTATGATTAACCTCATCCTTCATAAATAAATATATATATATATATATATATATATATATATATATATATATATATATATATATATATATATATATATATATATATATATATATATATATATATATATATGCATGCATGCATGCAAAACAACCACTGTGAAAGAATAGAGAAATTCCAAGTGCTTTCGTGACTACTCACATTATCAAGGAACAATGAAAGTAAAGCATCAAAGGAAGGTATATAAAGGGGTAGCCCACACCTCACTATCAGATCCCACAACAAAGAAACACCTGACACGCCAATCATAAGAAAGGGAACACTGCAGCAGGCCCGTCGGCCCAACTAGACATGTCCTTCACACAACCCACCAACAAACTATTCTACCCAAGAAATAAGAATTTTAAAAATTATTATTTGTCCAATGTATTATTAAATAATTCCCAAATTCTATTACTTATAAATGGATCTAATTTATATAAACCAAAGGAAATATTCATATTATTGTCAAAACTGCTTTTTATGAAACAAGATTCAATTATATTCCTGTCAACCATGGACTTGCTTGATACTACTTTCTCAACTTTCTGAAAATCAATTGGATGGTTAAAATCTCTTACATGAATAAATAGAGCATTGGAATCTTGTCCAGTTCTAATGCTATATTTATGTTGTTTTAATCTTAGTTCGAGATTTTTACCAGTTTGACCGTAATAAACTTTATCGCAAATTTTACAAGGAATCTTATAGACACATCCATTAACAATGCTCTATTTATTCATGTAAGAGATTTTAACCATCCAATTGATTTTCAAAAAGTTGAGAAAGTAGTATCAAGCAAGTCCATGGTCGACAGGAATATAATTGAATCTTGTTTCATAAAAAGCAGTTTTGACAATAATATGTATATTTCCTTTGGTTTATATAAATTAGATCCATTCATAATTAATAGAATTTGGGAAGAATTTGATAATACATTGGACAAATAATAATTTTTAAAATTCTTATTTCTTGTGTGAAGGACCTGTCTAGTTGGGCCGGCGGGCCTGCTGCAGTGTTCCCTTTCTTATAATTGGCACGTCAGGTGTTTCTTTATTGTGGGATCTGATAGTGAGGTGTGGGCTACCCCTTTATATACCTTCTGTGATGCTTTACTTTCATTGTTCCTTGATAATGTGAGTAGTCACGAAAGCGCTTGGAATTTCTCTATTCTTTCACAGTGGTTGTTTTGCATATTCTGAAATCACCTGTTTACTGTGATGTTATTGTATGTGAGTGTGTGTGTGTGTGTGTGTGTATATATATATATATATATATATATATATATATATATATATATATATAATATATATATATATATATATATATATAATATATATATACAGTGGACCCCCTCATAACGATGGCATTACATAGCGATTAATCCGCATACCGCTTACTTTAATTGCAAAAATTTTGCCGCGCATACCGATTAAAAACCCGCTCACACCGATTTTCGTCCGAGACGCGTCCAATGTGCGCCCTCAGCCAGCCTCACATGTGCCGCCCGTGCCATTGTTTACCAGCCAGCCTCCGCGGTAACATCCAAGCATACACTCGGAATATTTCGTATTATTACAGTGTTTCGGTGCTGTTTCTGGAAAATAAGTGACCATGGGCCCCAAGAAAGCTTCTAGTGCCAACCGTACACCAATAAGGGTGAGAATTCCCATTGAAATGAAGAAAGAGATCATTGATAAGTATGAAAGTGGAGTGCGTATCGCCGACCTAGTCAAGTTGTACAAGAAACCCCAATCAACCATCGCTACTATTGTGGGCAACCAGAAAGACAATCAAGGAAGCTGTTCTTGCCAAAGGTTTAACTGTGTTTTCGAAACAAAGATCGCAAGTGATGGAAATGTTGAGAGACTCTTATTGGTGTGATAAATGAAAAACAGCTAGCAGGAGATAGAGTCTCTCAAGCGATCATATGTGAAAGGCTAGGAATTGCATGAGGATTTAATTAAAAAAATGCCCTGCAACTAGTGATGATGTGAGTGAATTTAGGCCAGCAAAGGTTGTTTGAGAGATTTAAGAAGCGTAGTGGCATCCATAGTGTGATAAGGCATGGTGAGGCTGCCAGTTCGGACCAAAAAGCACTGAAAATATGTGCAGGAATTCAAGGAGTACATAGACAGTGAAGGACTGAAACCTGAACAAGTGTTTAATTGTGATGAAACAGGCCTGTTCTGGAAGAAAATGCCAAGCAGGACCTACATTACTCAGGAGGAAAAGGCATCCCAGGACATAAGCCTATGAAAGACAGGCTTACTTGTGATGTGTGCAATGCTAGTGGTGATTGCAAAGTTAAGCCTTTATTAGTGTATCACTCTGAAACTCCCAGAGCGTTCAGGCAAAAGAATGTCCTCAAGGATAATTTGTGTGTGCTGTGGAGGGCAAACAGTGAGGCATGGGTCACTAGGGACTTTTTCTATAACTGGTTACACATGCATTTGCCCCCAATGTGAAAGATTACCTAACTGAAAAGAAATTAGACCTTAAGTGCCTCCTGGTGTTAGACAATGCCCCTGGTCATCCTACAGACGTGGCAGAGCGACTTTATGGGGACATGAGCTTCATTAAGGTGAAGTTTTTGCCTCCTAATACCAATCCCTCCTGCAGCCCATGGACCAGCAGGTTATTGCAAACTTCAAAAAACTGTACACAAAAGCCTGTTTGAAAGGTGCTTTGTAGTGACCTCAGAAACCAACTGACTCTAAGAGAGTTTTGGAGAGAGCACTTTAATATCCTCAATTGTGTAAACCCTATAGGTAAGGCTTGGGAGGGAGTGACTAAGAAGACCTTGAACTCTGCTTGGAAGAAAATTGTGGCCAGAATGTGTAGACAAAAGGGATTTTGAAGGGTTTGAGGCTAACCCTGAGAGGATTATTCCAGTTGAGGAATCCATTGTGGCATTGGGAAAGTCCTTGGGGTTGGAGGTTAGTGGGGAGGATGTGGAAGAGTTGGTGGAGGAGGACAATGAAGAACTAACCACTGATGAGCTGATAGATCAACTTCAACAGCAAGAGGCCAGACCTGAGGAAACTGGTTCAGAGGAGGGAGAGAGAAATTGAAGAAGTTTGCCTACTACAAAGATAAAGGAAATCTGTGCAAAGTGGCTTGAAGTGCAAACCTTCATGGATGAAAATCACCCTCACACAGCTATTGCAAGCCGTGCTGGTGATTATTACACTGACAATGTTGTGAAACACTTTAGGGAAGTCATAAAGGAACGAGAGGTACAGGCCACTATGGACAGATATGTTTGTGCGAAAGAAGTCCAGTGACTCTGAAGCTGGTCCTAGTGGCATTAAAAGAAGAAGGGAAGTAACCCTGGAAAAGGACTTGCCACCTCAAGTCTTAATGGAAGGGGATTCCCCTTCTAAACACTAACACTCTCTCTCCCCTCCTCCCATCCCATCAATCATCACCAGATCTTCAATAAAAGTAAGTGTCATGTAAGTGTGCATGCCTTTTTCAGTTTGTGTGTATTAAAATTAACATTTCATGTGGTAAAAAAATTTTTTTTTTCATACTTTTGGGTGTCTTGGCACGGATTAATTTTATTTCCATTATTTCTTATGGGGAAAATTCATTCACATAGCGATTTTTTGCATAACAATTACCCCTCTTGCACGGATTAAAATCGTTAACCGGGGGTCCACTGTATATATATATATATATATATATATATATATATATATATATATATATATATATATATATATATATATATATATATATATATATATATATATATATTCAAGAAATTTTGCAAACATGGTGCATTGTACATAATGTATTTATTGTTTTATGATGTGATCTGAAATAAATATATTTTTATAATTAGTATACATATATCTCATCCTTTACTGTCGTAATGAAGCATTTTAGTGATTTTGTTTTTAGTGCACTGCATAGCACCTAAATGCTGTATAACCCAAGTGGGTTGAGCACTTAGTTCTGATTGTAACTATAATAATATGTAATAATAATAACAATAGAACATAAAGCATGGTAAATTATCATGTTTTTACTGCCATTCTATCTTGCATTGTCATTGATTAACATCTGCACTCCCCTCAAGTCAGGTTCCTTGATGGTGGTGAGGGGCTCTTGATCTAGGCCCCTCAAGTCAGGTTCCTTGATGGTGGTGAGGGGCTCTTGATCTAGGCCCCTCAAGTCAGGTTCCTTGATGGTGGTGAGGGGCTCTTGATCTAGGCCCCTCAAGTCAGGTTCCTTGATGGTGGTGAGGGGCTCTTGATCTAGGCCCCTCAAGGGAGGTTCCTTGATGGTGGTGAGGGGCTCTTGATCTAGGCCCCTCAAGGGAGGTTCCTTGATTCTGGTGAGGGGCTCTTGATCTAGGCCCCTCAAGGGAGGTTCCTTGATGCTGGTGAGGGGTTCTTGATCTAGGCCCCTCAAGGGAGGTTCCTTGATTCTGGTGAGGGGCTCTTGATCTAGGCCCCTCAAGGGAGGTTCCTTGATGCTGGTGAGGGGTTATTGATCTAGGCCCCTCAAGGGAGGTTCCTTGATGCTGATGAGGGGCTCTTGATCTAGACCTCTCAAGGGAGATTCCTTGATGCTGGTGAGGGACTCTTGATCTAGGCTCCTCAAGGGAGGTTCCTTGATGCTGGTGAGGGGCTCTTGATATAGGAAATTGGATCTGTGCTCCAGTTCCCTGAATACCTTCCATCTCCCCAGGTACTGTATAATCCCTACAGGTTTAGCGTTCCCCCATAATAATAATCATATTTAACATCTGCATTTCTTTTATTCTCTCATTACAATAGTCAATATCATAATGAAATTAAATACTATTATATGCAGTGCTGTGACAGATACACTGCTGTCAGGATATATTTCACCAAAACACCACATTTATCAAATATTGCTTTTCAATTATGATTCATTCAAGAAATTTGCTAATTGACCCATTCAGATTTTGCTTTTTTGTGTTTGTGTTAAAATAATAATAATTTACAATTTTTGCCATGCAGGTGTCATTCTTCACATTGAATTGCTTGAAGGCAGGTGCTGTAATACTCTTCAAAAACTGATTCAAGGTATCAGCAACTGCCTTTTGCCTAAACTTCTCCACCCTCCCCATTTTCCCTGGTGCTAAATGAGCTATACAGGTTTAGCACTTTTTTTTTTTAACAATTCGGCCGTCTCCCACCGAGGCAGGGTGACCCAAAAAGAAAGAAAATCCCCCCCCCCCCAAAAAAAAAAAATTACTTTCATCATCATTCAACACTTTCACCTCATACATAATCACTGTCTTTGCAGAGGCACCCAGATACAACAGTTTAGAAGCATTTATAAAGATATATAGCATATCCCTCCAAATTGCCAATATCCCAAACCCCTCCTTTAAAGTGCAGGCATTGTACTTCCCATTTCCAGTACTCAAGTCTGGCTATATAAAAATAACTGGTTTCCCTGAATCCCTTCACTAAATATTACCCTGCTCACATTCCAACAGCTCATCAGGCCCCAAAAAGCATTTGTTTCCATTCACTTCTAACATGCTTGCTGGAATCCAAGCCCCTCGCCCACAAAACCACCTTTACCCCCTCCTTCCATCCTTTTCATGGATGACCCCTACCCCACCTTCCTTCCCCTACAGATTTATACGCTCTCCATGTCATTCTACTTTGATCCATTCTCTCTAAGTGACCAAACCACCTCAACAACCCCTCTTCAGCCCTCTGACTAATACTTTTATTAACTCCACACCTTCTCCTAATTTCCACACTCTGAATTCTCTGCATAATATTTACACCATACATTGCCCTTAGACAGGACATTTCCACTGCCTCCAACCGTCTCCTCGCTGCAGCATTTACAACCCAAGCTTCACACCCATATAAGAGTGTTGGTACCACTTTACTTTCATACATTCCCTTCTTTGCCTCCATAGATAACGTTTTTTTGTCTCCACATATACCACAACGCCCCGCTCACCTTTTTTTCTTCATAAATTCTATGGTTAACCTCATCCTTCATAAACCCATCTACTGACATGTCATCTCCCTTCTCAAAAACATTCACTTCTTCCATACTTCCTCTCTCCAATGTTATATCCAATTTTTCTTCATCTAAATCATTTGATACCCTCATCACCTTACTCTTATCTATGTTCACTTTCAACTTTCTACCTTTACACACCCTCCCAAACTCATCTACTAACCTTTGTAACTCTTCTTTAGAATCTCCCATAAACACAGTATCATCAGCAAAAAGTAACTGTGTTATCTGTGACTATTCATGAGCATTGCTAATATCACCAGGCTCTTCCATTGACAATATTTTATTCACTTTACTCCTAAAGCTCTGTAAGAGTTCAACATGCCAGAAATTTTCTCTCTCATCAGTGATCAGTTCATCTATTATGGAATGTATACTTTGGTGTCCCAAGCTCAGTTCATTTATTTTTTTAGTATGCTTCACCAAGAGTTTTGCAGGCTCACTCATTCCTCTGTGAAGATCATGTAGGTTGTCCTGCTTTTTCTTAACCTCTGTTTTTATTTGAACTAGTTTGTTCATTAAGTTATTGTATGTGTCTTCACTTTGACGAGGAACTCTTCTTTCCCAGATATAATGTGTATCAGCTTTGTGCTCCTTCATTTTGTGAGTGCATGGAGGACTTGTACAATTTTGGCTGCTAACAGCATCTGAACAGCTTTCTTTCCCTCTTCTCATTAAAAGTCCTGTGGTTAATCCAGCAGTTAAACCAATGAGAGTTCCAATGCCTAGACCAATTGCAGCTCCTATTGGTCCTCCAAAGATACCCACCTCAGCCCCCAGTATTGCTCCAGCACTTACTGAAGTTCCAATTCCCGTAACAGCTGCAGTGCCAACCCCAGTGCCAGTGCCAGCCAATGCAGCTGTAAGATTACTTGGATCTATACAATCTTTTATACATGTTTGTTTACAAACATCACAGTTGTGAACGTGATGTCCACTACTTATCAAACACTGAACCTTTTCCATTTCCTTAAGTCTTTCTGCTTGGTTTTCAATATTGCTTATTTCTGCATTATGAGCATGAATTGCACCTTTTAGTATATCAATTTCCTTCATAAGGTTTATAATTGTAACTTTGGTTTCTTCAAGATATTGTCTTTCCTGCAGAAGGTCCCTTGTTCTTATAAGGCTTACTGGAGTAGAATTTTGTAAATCTTCAAAAAATTTGGTATACTCCTCTTCCATTCTTCTCCATCTGTACCTAAGAGCTATATGCGTATCACTCTCAGGGTTACCATTATTTGAGACATACAGAGGCCAGTTGTCAAGTTGGTAAACACTGACAAACTGAACTTCGGCACATTTTACCACATCAATAACTGCTGTAGCTTCATCTGAAGCAAATGTAGCCAGAAGCTGTGTTATATCACCAATATCATTCCCTAAAACAGATTTGAACTCTTTCAGCATTTGTATCTGGTATTTTGATATCCTGTTTTGATTTGCTTTAGCTACTAAAGCAACACAGTTAAGGTCATCTATACCATAATTGGTTGTTAGGAAAGCTGTCAGTCTGTCTATGGTGACTCTCTCATGGTCTTCCCTGGTGTCGCCAAACCCTGGTGTGTCTATCAAGATATAATTACAGTAATAAGGCATTCCAGGTTGGTGATACACTATATAGGCAGTGATGTATTCTGTTTGACTCTCTACTTGGAGACTATTATTTAAAACCTGATCTTTCAACTGCAACCTAAAATTATCTTCAAAGCTGACACCAAACAGATGATTGATCATAGTGTTTATGACGCAGGTTTTCCCGACACCTGTCTCCCCCAGCAGGAGAACTGACTTGGTGGGTCCATTATTATCAGGTCCAATGGCCACCACTTGTATCTTTTTGTCTTCATCCTTCTCAATGTCTTCAGTTTGTATCTCATAAGTTATAAACCCCTCCTCGTTATTCACCACTGAGCAATAATTCCTTATTTTATTCTTCAACTGGGAATCCATCATCATCTTCCACTAATCTGTAAAACATTGAACCAGTTAACCATGTTATATTTTCTTAAATTCAAACACAAAATTTAAAATTTTTATTATATTAAGTATATAGATAATGTAAATAACAAAAAATCACAATACTGCGACTGGAACAGTACACAAATAAGCTGCACATAGGGGAGAGGAGCCAGTATACAGAGGACAGGAAGACAGAGACAGGACAAGGAGAGGAAGGAAGTGGAGTAGTAATAGAGGCAATGCTGGTATTAGACGTAGTAGTAGTAGTAATTATAATAATAATAATATTTATTTCTACATGTACAAGGTATACAGACCATAGCTGACATCAATGACATACTACTATATAGAAAGCCCACTTTTTATGCAGAGCATTTCCCGAAATTTAGGTCAATTTTGTCCCAGGATGCAACCTACGCCAGTTGACTAACACACAGGTACCCATTTTACACTGATAGGTGAACATGGACAGCAGGTGTCTTGTGGAAGCACATCCTAATGTATTCCAGCCTTACTGGAGATTCAAACTCCGGACCTCAGTGTGTGAGCTGAGTGACCTAGCGATCAAGCTATGCAGAGGAAGTAGTGATAGTGGCACAAATGACATGTAATAAAATATGTTAGGTGCAAAAGAAAGCCACAAGCATCCAATTCATTTTGAGCAAACTGACCCTAATGCTTAAAAACTACTTAAGAACTAGACATTACTTAGAATTTCTTAAATCTACAAAAAAAAAAAAAAAAAAAAAAAGAGAGCAGTAGCTAAATGAACAACAGGACAATTTAAATGTTTGCATTAACATTTCAAACTAATTCAATGATCTTCAGTTAAGTAGAATTACTTAAGCAGTTAATTATTGTTATACGATAATAAGAAAGGAAGCGAATGTACGAAAGGTACATTAGTGTCCATTTTTTAAAATGTTCAATATGGTGATGTGGGTAATGTGTTCAAGATAAAGAAAATCAGACTAAAGGAAAATAAAACATCAATCAGGCCGTATTTCAGGTAATGTAGCTACCCAGAGAAAGAACTCACTCTTAAGTCAAAATTTGCAGCTATTCAGAATTTCCCAAATCCTGTGCTTGCCTTTATTGTTGTTATAATTAAAAAACTAACACTAAACCCATATGAGTCATACCGTTCATAGGACTGCAGATCTAGTACGATCTATCATGGGTTTTAAAGGATTTTTATATTTTCAGAATCCTGGAAGGCTTGTTTTGTTTTTCCTTATCTGATGGTGCCGCTGCTCTTTGCTGACTTGAATGATTCCTTAAATTGATATTGATTTGGTATGTCTGTTCAAGCCTCTGGGTTAAAATTCCAAACAAGTAGACCCCCTGGCTGTCTTGAAGACCCCCTGGCTGTCTTGAAGACCCCCTGGCTGTCTTGAAGACCCCCTGGCTGTCTTGAAGACTCCCTGGCTGTCTTGAAGACCCCCTGGCTGTCTTGAAGACTCCCTGGCTGTCTTGAAGACCCCCTGGCTGTCTTGAAGACCCCCTGGCTGTCTTGAAGACCCCCTGGCTGTCTTGAAGACCCCTGGCTGTCTTGAAGACCCCCTGGCAGCCTTGAAGACCCCCTGGCTGTCTTGAAGACCCCCTGACTGTCTTCAAGACCCCTGACTGTCTTTAAGACCCCTGGCTGTCTTCAAGATCCCTTGCTGTCTTCAAGACCCCTGACTGTCTTCAAGACCCCTGGTTGTCTTCAAGATCCCTCTGTCTTCAAGACCCCTGACTGTCTTCAAGACCCCTGAGTGTCTTGAAGACCCCTGGCTGTCTTCAAGATCCCTTGCTGTCTTCAAGACCCCTGGCTGTCTTCAAGACCCCTGTCTTCAAGACCCCTGGCTGTCTTCAAGACCCCTGTCTTCAAGATCCCTGGCTGTCTTCAAGACCCCTGACTGTCTTCAAGACCCCTTACTGTCTTCAAGACCCCTGACTGTCCTCAAGATCCCTCGCTGTCTTCAAGACCCCTGACTCTCTTCAAGACCCCTGACTCTCTTCAAGACCCCTGACTGTCTTCAAGACCCCTGGCTGTCTTCAAAATCCCTCGCTGTCTTCAAGACACCTGACTGCCCTCAAGACCCCTGGCTGTCTTTAAGATCCCTCACTGTCAAGACCCCTGTTTCAAGACCCCTGACTGTCTTCAAGACCCCTGGCTGTCTTCAAGACCCCTGACTGTCTTCAAGATCCCTCGCTGTCTTCAAGACCCCTGACTGTCTTCAAGACCCCTGGCTGTCTTCAAGACCCCTGACTGTCTTCAAGACCCCTGGCTGTCTTCAAGACCCCTGGCTGTCTTCAAGACCCCTGACTGTCTTCAAGATCCCTCACTGTCTTGAAGACCCCTGTCTTGAAGACCCCTGTCTTGAAGACCCCTGACTGTCTTGAAGACCCCTGGCTGTCTTCAAGATCCCTCGCTGTCTTCAAGACCCCTGACTGTCTTCAAGACCCCTGACTGTCTTCAAGACTCCTAGCTATCTTCAAGACCCCTGTCTTCAAGACCCCTGGCTGTCTTCAAGATCCCTCGCTGTCTTCAAGACCCCTGAGTGTCTTCAAGACCCCTGACTGTCTTCAAGACCCCCTGGCTGTCTTCAAGACTCCTGTCTTCAAGACCCCTGACTGTCTTCAAGACCCCTGACTGTCTTCAAGACCCCTGAGTGTCTTCAAGACTCCTAGCTGTCTTCAAGACCCCTGTCTTTAAGACCCCTGGCTGTCTTCAAGATCCCTCACTGTCTTGAAGACCCCTGTCTTGAAGACCCCTGTCTTGAAGACCCCTGACTGTCTTGAAGACCCCTGGCTGTCTTCAAGATCCCTCGCTGTCTTCAAGACCCCTGACTGTCTTCAAGACCCCTGACTGTCTTCAAGACTCCTAGCTGTCTTCAAGACCCCTGTCTTCAAGACCCCTGGCTGTCTTCAAGATCCCTCGCTGTCTTCAAAACCCCTGACTGTCTTCAAGACCCCTGACTGTCTTCAAGACTCCTAGCTGTCTTCAAGACCCCTGTCTTTAAGACCCCTGGCTGTCTTCAAGATCCCTGACTGTGTTCAAGACCCCTGACTCTCTTCAAGACCCCTGGCTGTCTTGAAGAAGGAGCTGAACACACAGATAAAGTCAGTATGTGACCATACGGGCTGCTGCTCGTACGTTGGTTTACTTGCAGCCAGCAGTAACAGCCTGACTGATCAGTCCTTGATCCTCCACATGGCCTGGTCATGGACCGGGTCACAGGGGCAATGACCCCAGAAACACCATCCAGGTATATCCCAGGTAAATCTTGCCTCTCTCACCTCTGCTGTCCAGCACTGAATGACCTCTGTAATTTTAGCAGTTTCCATGGATATTATCCATACAATAATCTGTGACAGCAGTTCTTGCTCGATGTTGATGAATTACTAATATACAAGCAATTTTAGTTTAAAAAACAATGTTCATCCATTTTTTGAACAGTCTTGAATTATATGAAGAATTTCAGGCAAACTAACCCTACAGTCTTTATTAATGACACTTTTGAGTTTTTTTTTTAGGTTTTCCTGGTGGGTAATTTATAGTACTATATTATATGATAATTGTACTTATATGTACCTGTCCTTAAATAAACTTACAAGCTTACTGTATATTATAATCACTTATTTCCAGGTTGGCTGCAACTTAAGTAAGTAAGTAAGTTTATTCAGGTATACACAAATAGTTACATAGATTATCATACATAGCAGCATATGTGTAGAGAACCTAGAATAACACAAAAAAGTCAGACAGTGACTTATTTCCATGGTGGAAGCTTAAGTTTATTTAGGTACACATAAATAGTTATATAAATTATCATATATAGTAACACATGTGTAAATTATCATATATAGTAACACATTTGTAAATTACCCACCAGGATAACCCGAAAAATGTCATAAGTGGCTCAGTATACTGAGCATACATGGAGATGTTATTCCTTATTTCTACTGTCTTAAGTATTGAACTAGCCCTTCATTCTCAACCGTGGTCTTTACATAGAGGATGTTTGTGGGTTTATTACTAGTCAGGTCAGTAATGCATGTCCAATCATTGTGGAATTCAGACTAGAACCAGCCTTCCCCCATTCTAGTTACTTGAATTAATTCTTACGTACCTCCATGGGCAGTTGTGAACAGATGGTTGCACTGTAGATCTCTGGCAGTGGGATGTAGCAAGGCTCCTCTATATATAGCCCCAGTGTAGAAATGTGCATTCCACACACTTGAGGTACCTACGTGGAGAAGTGATAAGTCGTGGCAGATCTTGAGATACCAGTATGAGTCATGTACAACTATCTGGTACACTAGCGAAATATCCTTTATCACGATGAAATGTATCTAATTCATGTGTTAGAAAATGTTTTTATTTATTTATTTATTTATTTATTTGAACATGATACAGAGTAGTACAAAGGAATACAGTTAAATGCAGCATGCCAAAGCCAATTGAATGCAGAGCATTTCGGGCAGGTAAGGTGGGAACCGTTCAGCCGTTCCAGCGCTCTCAAGAAAAAATAAAAAAATTATGGAAACTGAGTTATTCATATAGAAAAATAGCTTAACTCTGACAAAACAATGGTACAAGAAGTTAGTTTAATATGTTTATTATGCACCCCATACCCATCCTGTGGGCGGTAGTCAAAAGATTACAGAGGTACATAATTGGTCCAGGGACTGGACTCCAAAGTTTTGATAGCTGAGCAAGTTACAGAGGTAATGAACTCACAAATTACAAAGGTAATGAACTCCAGGTAGGTCTAGTCACAATCATGACAAGTTACAAAGGTATTTACAGATTACAGAGGTACGTAATGGGTCCAGGGACCGGGCTCCAAAGTTTGGATGGCTGAACTAGGTACAAGGTAATGAACTCACAAGTTACAAAGGTAATGAACTCACAAGTTACAAAGGTAATGAACTCACAAGTTACAAAGGTAATGAATACTGTAAGAATGGTTACTTACGTTTATAGTTAGTTTAATATGTTTATTATGCACCCCATACCCATCCTGTGGGCGGTAGTCAAAAGATTACAGAGGTACATAATTGGTCCAGGGACTGGACTCCAAAGTTTTGATAGCTGAGCAAGTTACAGAGGTAATGAACTCACAATTTACAAAGGTAATGAACTCACAATTTACAAAGGTAATGAACTCCAGGTAAGTCTGGTCACAATCATGACAAGTTACAAAGGTATTTACAGATTACAGAGGTACGTAATGGGTCCAGGGACTGGGCCCCCAAAGTTTTGATAGCTGAACTAGGTACAAAGGTAATGAGCTCACAAGTTACAAAGGTAATGAATTCTGTAGAATGGTTACTTACGTTTATACTTTGGCTACAATCATGAACAAATTATAGAGTAATGAGCAATTCACACTTCCACACCCGGTCACAATTGTAATGAGTTATTGGTGCAAATATTGATTGTTGAGTCACACACACACACACACACACACACACACACACACACACACACACACACACACACACCACACACACACACACAACACACACACACACACTTTAGTTTAATATCTTATGCACCCCATACCCATCCTGTTTATACATGGCTACAATCATGAACAAATTTTAGAGTAATGAGCAATTCACACTTCCACACCCGGTCACAACTGTAGTGAGTTATTGGTGCAAATATTGATTGTTGAGTCACACAAAACACACACACACACACACACACACACACACACACACACACACACACACACACACACACACACACACACACACACACACACACACACACACACACACGAATTAAATTAAATCGGACGAGGATGAGGCAGGACTGCAAAGAGACCTGGAGAGGCTGGACATGTGGTCCAGTAACTGGCTCCTCGAATTCAATCCAGCCAAATGCAAAGTCATGAAGATTGGGGAGGGGCAAAGAAGACCGCAGACAGAATATAGGCTAGGTGGACAAAGACTACAGACCTCACTCAGGGAGAAAGACCTTGGGGTGACCATAACACCGAGCACATCACCGGAGGCACACATCAACCAAATAACCGCTGCAGCATACGGGCGCCTGGCAAACCTGAGAATAGCGTTCCGATACCTTAATAAGGAATCGTTCAAGACACTGTACACTGTGTATGTTAGACCCATACTGGAGTATGCAGCACCAGTCTGGAACCCACACCTGGTCAAGCACGTCAAGAAGTTAGAGAAAGTACAAAGGTTTGCAACAAGCTAGTCCCAGAGCTCAAGGGAATGTCGTACGAGGAAAGGTTAAGGGAAATCGGACTGACGACACTGGAGGACAGAAGGGTCAGGGGAGACATGATAACG